AAAGAGAGAGATTTGGATGCCATTGCTGGGCCTCACCATGACCCGGCAGTATTTATGATTTTGATGAACCGGATAATCCTGAAAAATTTTAGAATCGTTTTGTAGTCGTCCTTCGAGGACGAACATCCTAATCTAATTCCAACCTTTCAGAGGAAGAGCACAAGGAATCACTTGAGAGTGGTGCTATGAATTAAACTTAGAGCCCATCAGCTTATGCTAAGTTCTGAGAAGTGTGAGTATGCCGGCTAAGAAGAGGTGAAGTTCTTTTTAGGCCATGTAGGTTTCTAGGGAAGGGGGTTTCCTGTTGATCACATCAAAGACGGAAAGGCCATGCAGAGATTGGGCAACAGCCTAAGAGTGTGTTTGAGATCCGTAGTTTTCTGGGATTAGCTGGGTATTACCGTCGGTTTGTGAAGGATTTCTCCAGGTTAGCGTCACCGTTGACTAGACTGACTCGGAAGGGGGTCAAGTTTGTGTGGAGTGAGACTTGTGAAAAGTCGTTCCAAGAGCTGAAAGTTAGATTGACCACCGCTCCGGTGTTGATTATTCCGGAGAGAGGGTTGGGTTATGCGGTTTATTGTGATGCCTCATGAGAGGGTTTGGGTTGTGTGTTGATGCAAGAAGGGAAAGTAGTTGCCTATGGCTCACGTCAGTTGAAAATACACGAGAAGAATTACCCTACGCATGATCTTGAGTTAGTAGCTGTGATCTTTGTCTTGAAGATTTGGAGGCATTATCTTTATGGTGAGAAGTTCGAGGTATTCTCGGATCATAAGAGTCTGAAATATCTGTTTACACAGAAAGACTTGAACTTGAGGCAGAGGAGGTGGATGGAATTTATTGAGGATTATGACTTGAAATTGCATTATCATCCGGGAAAGGCCAATGTGGTGGCCGACGCCCTTAGCAGGAAACCTGTTGGTGACATAGCTAGTATAGCCATTCGAGAGTGGGAGATGTTAGGTGCACTTGGAGAGTTCGATTTGCTTCTGGGCAAATCCGTTGAGGCTGCGGCCTTGTTTTCTGTTGTTGCACAGCCTACACTTGTGACTCAAGTGTTAGAGGCTCAGAGAGGTGACCTTGAGGTAGAATCTCTTCGAGAAAAGATTTCCAGTGGGAAGGTTGAGAAGGGTTTGACAGTGTATTCCGACCTGAGTGTGAGATACCGAGACCATCTGTTTGTGCCAGAGTCTTGCCGAGAGGAGGTACTCCGAGAGTTCCATCATTCACGCCTTGCGGTGCATCCGGGAGGTACTAAGATGTATCAGGATTTAGGTCGCCAGTTTTGGTGGCGGGGTATGAAGAAAGATGTGGCAGCTTTCATGTCTAAGTGCCTTACTTGTCAGCAAGTGAAGGCCGAGCATCAGAGGCCAGCGGGTTTGTTGCAACCTTTGCCTATTGCCGAGTGGAAGTGGGAGCATGTCACTATGGACTTCGTTGTAGGTCTTCCGAGGACTCAGTGGGGTAGTGATGCTATTTGGGTGGTTGTAGACCGGTTGACTAAGTCGGCGCACTTCATTCCTATGTGCGTGAGAGATTCGGTAGACCATCTGGCCGGTTTATATATTCGAGACATAGTGAGGTTGCACGGGGTCCCAGTGACGATCGTCTCAGATAGAGATCCTCGTTTTACTGCCAGGTTGTGGCAGAGTTTGCAGAGTGCCTTAGGCACAAAGTTGACCTTTAGCACAGGTTATCATCCTCAGACTGATGGGCAGTTCGAGCGTACTATTCAGATCCTTGAGGATATGCTTCGGGGTTGTGTTCTTGACTTTGGTGGGTCGTGGGAGAGGCACTTGCCTTTGGTGGAGTTTGCCTACAACAACAGCTTCCAGTCTAGTATCGGTATGGCACCGTTTGAGGCCTTATACGGCCGACCGTGTAGGTCTCCTGTTTGTTGGGCCGAGGTGGGTGATGCACCTCTGTTGGGTCCGGAATTAGTGAGGGAAACGACGGAGAAAGTTGAGCTTATCCGTAGGAGGCTTGTTACAGCCCAGAGTCGTCAGAAATCTTATGCCGACCGTAGGAGGAGACCTTTGGTGTTTGAGGTGGGTGATCATGTCTTTCTGAAGATATCACCTAGGCGGGGATTGATGAGGTTCGGGAAAAGCGGGAAGT